CCGCCACGCCCCGCCACGCCAACCCACTCCAATCAGGGGAGCGAACGGCACCACACTCACTCCCTCTCGCCGCCGCTGGCCTCTGGGCCCCCCTCTCGATACTACTACGGCCCATCTGGTCGGCGCGATCTCCAGGACCACAATAACAGCCTCACGCCGCTGGCCACCACACCGCAGCAGGCCCCGCCGCGCCCCCGCCGCCGCCGACCCGGGGAGCAGCCTCAGCCAGTACAGCGGTGTGGGGGTCATTAAGGGCAGGATCATTGTCTATCCCCCTCTGCCACCCTCCGCCCGGCTCTCCGCCCGGCTTGTGCACACGTGCACCTCACGCATAGAGTAACGGCCTGGCCCCTGCTTGTTGTTGGCCACGAGTTTGGCGCGCAGCTCGTTTCCAGTTACACACACACACACACACACACACACACACACACAGTCTCTCTCAGTGACTCGCTGCACCAGGCGGGTGGACACAGTGCAGGCGAAAACAGGGCAGCAGTACTCTCCACACACACACACACACTGCCGCAGAGAACAAAGTTGGTCATTTCAACAAAACCACAAAAGCGAGTTTTTTGAGTTTTTCAATCAAAGCAGGCGTACCGCAATTACATACCAGTTATTTCTTTTCCACGCAATGGGATCAAAACATCATTAAAAGTAGTTGGAAATCACATCGCATTGAAGCCCGCGAGCAAAGCACGTTCAACCCCTCCTCCGCCATCTCTCGCGCTCTGCTCGCCTCTCGCCGACCGGCCCGCGCCGAACGCGAGAACTTCCACTCACGACTCGCCTCAGTTTTGCTGCGGGAAAAGGGAAACACGACGACGATGACGTCGCCGACGTTGAAGGCGAATCAGGTCGCGGGGCTTTAGTTATTTCGTCTGCCTTTTTTTTCTCTCTCTCTCTCTCTCTCTCTCTCTCTCTCTCCCGCCCGGTCGGCAAAAGGAGAAACTTTTCGCACACGCGCGACCAACAGCAGCGCCAAAGCAACCCCGAAAGGCTCCCGCGCGATGCCGTGCCCCGCGCGAGAGCGAGAGAGACGGAGAGCGAGATGTTTCCCCCCGCCCCCCTTCTTTTTTCTTTTTTTTCTTTTTTCATCACCAGGTTGGTACCTCTGCAGCCACTTGGGGGTAGTGGCAACGTTGTTGGTTGCACGCGCTTGTAGTGTACGTGTGCCGCAAGGGGTCTAGACGCCCCCCCACCCTCCTTCCTCCTCGTCACCCCCTTGCTCTCTCCCCCCGCCGAATGCAAGGGGGCGATGTCCCGCCCCGCCCCTCCTCTGTCGTCACAAAGGCTCATTAGGGGGCCACCGGGGTGGCGGGGGCGACTATGTCGTGTAACTAATACTTCAGCCGGGCAGGAATGCCATCCCCTTCCCCACCCCTTACCCCTTTCGCCTCATACTCGCCGCGCTCCCGATCGCGGGAGGGAAGGGTATGAGCCTCCGCGTCCGGGTCTAAAAGCGCTGGAAAAGCATGGAGGCGCGATGCGACTGAAGAACTTTTATTTATTTACTCTGAAATATCATTTCAGACATCTAGTCTGGCTGAATTACAAATTCAAAGGTGCTGTACTCCCTCTGGAAGGGTACCGACAGCTAAAATTAGCAATAGGACCCCTCAAAAATTCTGCAGCACCCGCTTACGGGGTGCAAACGTAGCATTCACTGTAAACTTGAGGTGAGGCTAAGTTTTTGTCCTAATTCGCGCGACGCACTGAACGTGTGTCAATCAGCCACAGCCACAGCCATGCCGGGTATTTGCAGA